GCAAAAGTCTGAACCTCTAGGCTGCAAGCGATATGACACCAAACTATTCACCTTGTGAAGGATCACTTCTTGCTTGTGAAAGTCTATTGAAGCGCCAACTGTACTAAGGAAAGGGGTTCCCAATAGCAGAGGTAGATCCTTCTCTTCTTCCATTTCCATCACAGTGAGATCAGTTTGGATGATGCATTCTCCAATTTTCAAGTGATAGTTCTTGAACACTCCAAGAGGAGACTTAGAAGTTGCATCTCCAAACATGATTGAAGTAGTAGGGCGCTGCAAGGCTCCAGCAATGCCTAGCTTCTCTGCCATGGAGAGAGAGATCAGATTGATGCTTGCTCCAGAATCCACTAAGGCATTGTCAATCTCAAGATGCCCAAGTGTGCAAGGGAGAGTGAATTTCCCTTGATCCTTGACCTTTGGTAGGAAGGTGGTGAAGTAAGCAGGTTGAACTGATGAGTAGACTCTTGTAGGACCTCTGAAACTTTATCACTGTTGGCTAACATCCTTGACCATTTGCATTTGATCAAATGCCTCACTCATGCTATCCATAGGAGGCAACTCAATTCCAATCCCACTGAGATCTCTTCTGAACTTGTGAATCACTTCCTTGTGACCTTGACTAAGTAGGCGAGACGAGGAAGCGGCAACCGGTTGGTAAGGATCAAGCAAAACGGCTTTGGGACAGAAGAGGTCGGACTCGATCGAGCTAGAGTTGGACTCGATCGAGCTGCCGATCGAGCTTGTCGTGCGAGCTCAACTGGTGAAGTGTGAATGGCCACAGTAGGTGCTGCACTTCTGGTTGATCAATCTGGACTCCAGGAGCCTCAGCAGCAACAATCTCTTCATCATTCAGCAGTAAACAAAAATCTTCAATGACCCTTTCTTGATCCTCTTCTTCAACAAGTCCTTCTTGAGTGAAGATGACCTTGCACTGTTCCTTGGGGTTCTGAATAGCTTTACCAGGTAGTTGTCCTTGCTTTGTAGCAGCAGCAACAGAAGAAGCATGATTCTCCAGAGAGTAAACCCTTGTGTTGAGGTTCTCGATCTTAGAGTTTATTTCAGCTAGCTTCTTGCTTGTGTCCACTACCCCATCAGCTTGCCCTTGAAGTAGTTGCTTTAGCATTGCCTTGAGCTCATTCTCTTGTGAAGGTGCAGGCTGGGGCGGTTGGTGGGGAAGCCTGGTGGGATATTCATTTGTTGTCCAGGGAAAGTGCCTTGTGGTCCTTGGTAATTGTTCTTTTGACCATACCCATGTTGTGGCTTGACTCGATCGAGCTGCTTGTTGTTGAGGATAGACTTGGTCCTGAGGGTTAGCAACATCAGTGTTGCGGTATGACATGGCAGGGTTGGACTTGTAATTATAGTATCCTTTGTTGTAACCTCCTTGCCCATTGCTCATGTAGCACACCTCAGCAAATTGTGTATCCTCCCCTTCTTGGACTGGTTCCATCTCCTCAGCAGACACAAAGTTGACTTTCTTCATTGTGGACTGAGCTAGGATCAGCTTATCCAACTTCTCATTCAATGCCTTAACATCTTTTCTCAACTTTTCGTCTGACTCGATCGAGTGGTGGGTCGAGCTCCGGTTGGTGCGATCATACTCTTCTCCATAGCTTCCATTTGAGTTAGCTATGTTCTCCACAAGTTGCCAGCCATCATCTACATCCTGGTTGAGGAAGTTCCCATTGCTAGCTGTGTCTAGCATCTCCCTATACCTTGCAAGCATCCTCTATAAAGAGTAGAGAGTAGGATTCATTGTTGAATCCATGGTGTGGGCACTGACTTGTGTAGCCTTTGAACCTCTCCCAAGCCTCTGCGAATGTCTCATTGTTTCGCTGGATGAAGCTGGATATCTCTCCTCTAAGCTTGGCTGTGCGACCGGTGGAGAAAAACTTAGCAAGAAAGGCCTTCTTGCATTCATCCCAAGTGGTGATTGTGCCATGGGGCAAGCTCTTCTCCCATTGGTGAGCTTTGTCAGCTAGAGACATAGGAAAGAGTCTCAGCTTGATGGCATCTTCAGAGACACCATTGATCTTTGTCAAATCACAAAGCCTATCAAACTCATCAAGGTGGTCAATGGGGTCTTCACTTGGCAATCCATGGAACATCTTGTTCTGACAAGGTTGATCATTCCCAGCTTGATCTCAAAGTTGTGGTTCTGCACTGGTGGTGGAACAATCCCTTGTCTCTATTTTACATGCTTTTTATACTATTTTAGTATTGTTTTCTAATGGTTTTGGCAGGTTTTCTATCTAAAAAGGTAGTTTTACTGTGTTTATAGTGTCTAGAGTCTAAACAGGTGAAATGATGCATTTTGGAGCAAAACCATAGGATTTGCGCTTCAAGCCGCTTCATACACAAGCATCAACTTTAAGAGGGCCCAGAAAAAGATCTACTCAATGGATTTCATCAAGACCAGTTCCCTGCGTGCTCTGATTGAGTTAACTTTCCAACGCAACTGGAACGGCCTAATTTGGATGAGTAGAAACGGAGTTATAACCAAAAGAGTGGAGACTGTCCAGACGGCTCTATCGAGAATCAGCGCCCAACCGCACAGACCGGCTGGCCGAGAAACTATTGTTTCACGCTCGGCCAAAGTCATATCCGTCCGTCTAAAGTCTCCGCCAAAGTCCGAAACCATCCGGCCGATCATCCGACACGACCCGGGAAACATTGTCACGCGGTCGGCCAAGCCACAACCGTTTCACGCCGCGCCGCGCACGATCATGCCGCGCGAGCCGGGGAACAAAGCCTCGCGGCCGCGCAACCCTTGCGAAACCTTCTAATATCTTGTTGACCTTGAATCTCTGCGAGTTTCTCATTGCCTAGCGTTTCCCTTATTGATTTTCATAAACCGTTTAATCTGCTGTTTGATTTACTTTGTTACACAATCAAAACCCTAAATCATACTTGTTTTCTAGCTATATTAGACTTGCAATACTCGAAGTGTACTTATCTGCTCCTTGTGTTCGATACCCGTTTACTACTTTTGATCTGTGCACTTGCAGAATCAGGGATAGGAAAAGGGAAGACCTGATCCCGCGATCAAGTTTTTGGCGCCGTTGCCGGGGAGCAATACAGCTACCTTCGAGTTCCCAACTATAGTCTAGCCTAGAATTTCGTTTTTCCTTTTTGTTTTTGCAAATTTTCAACTTTTGTTTTTCCTTTTTACTGTTTTCTATTTAAAGAATCTTGCCTCTATCCCTTTCAGGTACTAAGCTTGAAAGAAGACTCTAACATGAGTGATTCAGACGATCAAGAGGAGAGAGATAACTTGGCCGCGAGAGAGATCGCGCTGGCCGAGCAGCACGAAGATCCGCCGGATCCGAACACCGCGCACAATCGCGCCAATGATGGAGCGCGACACAATGAAGAAGTCATGGGAGACTTCGATTCCAATCCAACACTACTAATCGATCGGAATCCCATCCAGCCGCCACTTCCTGAAGGAAGAAGCTATGAGATTTCGCCGGAGATTATTGGTTTGGTGAAACAAAACCAGTTCCAAGGAAAACCCCAGGAGAATCCTTTGGAACATATTGATGCTTTTGAAGAAATTGTGGCACCATCAGTGCAGGAGGTGCGCCCAAGAGTACTTAAAGTGCAAACTATTCTCTTTCACTTTGACAGGGAAGGCTTTGCGCTGGGTTAAGTCTCTTCCAGCTCAATCCATAACCACATGGAAAGAGTACAAGGTGGCATTCCTAGGTCACTTTTTCACAAAGCAGAGAGCAAACTTGTTGAGAGAAAAGATCTCTAGTTTCCAACAAGGGCCGGTGGAGCCTTTTCATGAAGCATTGGAGCGCTTCAAGGACTATACAAGAGAGTGTCCTAATCATGGACTATCTGAGGGCAGTCTATGGAACATTTTCTACAGAGGAATAAGTGGGAAGTGTCGATTTTCTCTTGATACAGCCAGCAATGGAAATTTCATGACCAAGACAGTTACTGAAGCAAAGATTTTGATTGAAAATCTAGCCTCAAGCGACAGTGACAACTTCATTGGGCATGAGAGAGCAGTGAAGGCCATAAATTCTGATCCATACAGAGATGGATACAGCGAAATCAAAGCCATGATGGCTGAGATACTGAGAAACCAAGGAAGAGAAGTGGAGAGACAAAGAGAAGCTTATAGAGTTGAATCCACAATAATTCAAGATTACTTTGGAGATTTGATTCCAAGTTTCCAAGAAGAAGTAAACTTTGTTGGAATAGATGGATCAGCACATAGAGAAGAAGCTTGGAAAGGGAGAGCATGATGTTTTTACTCAAGAATCACCCAATGAGAAGAGGGATGTTCATGGAGGAAGAAATTATCAGCAACCACCTCACAAGAGAAGAATGGAGCCAAGGAGCAATTTTGAAGATTTGATAACTTTCATCAAGAGTTCTCATAGAGAGCACACAGCCTTGATTGATGAGAGATTGGAGTCAGCCTTCACGAGATTGAATGAGAAGTTGGATTCTATTTCTTCTTTCACAAGAGACTTGGATCTTAGAGTTGCCAACATAGCCAGCTCTATTAAGAGAGAAGAAGGTGCTACCAGGAAAAGTGGAAATCAATCCAAGGAGAGCAGCTGTAGCAGCTATCACTCTTAGGAATGGAAAAGGGTATGAGCCACCAGCATACCCAGATCAAGAGGAAGCAAAGCCGCCAATCAAGAAGAAACCAATGGAGTATGTCATCATTGGAGATGGGACTGAACCACCTAAGGAAGTCCATGTCAGAATAGAACCAGGAACTCAGGAGGAAGTGGAGAAGCCACCTGAAGAACCAAGAGTGTATGAGCCAAAGATCCCATACAGAAATGTTCTTTCTCAACCCAAGAAGGAGAAGGAGCAAGCAAAGCTCAAGGATCTTGTTAGCCAACTTTCAGTAAGGTTACCTTTCATTGATGCTTGCCAAATAATTCCATCTCTCAGGAAGTATATGAAGGCCATACTCACAAGCAATGTGAGTCTTGAAGAAGGAGCAATGATGATTACAAAGGAGTGTAGTGCCATACTTCAGAATCGCATGCCAGAGAAGCTGAACGACCCAGGAGTTTTGTTTTGTCTTGCAAGATCGGTTCTACACACTTCCATAGAGCACTTTGTGATTTGGGTTCTAGTGTGAACCTAATGCCTTACTCAGTGGCCAAGCTATTGGGCATCACTGACTTCAAACCTACAAAGATCTCTCTAGTCTTTGCAGACAGATCTGTTCGCCGCCCTGTTGGTGTTATTATGGATGTTCCAATCATGGTTGGAGATTGCTACATCCCTGCTGATTTTGTAGTTCTTGAGCTGGAACACCAACCTAAAGACCCTCTTATCTTGGGAAGGCCATTCCTAGCTACTGCAGGAGCTATAATAGATGTCAAGAATGGAAAGATTGACTTGCATCTTGGAGATATAGTGATGAATTTCGAGGTAAACAAGTCTATGGAGAAACCAACTGTAGATGGTCAAGCTTTTTGGATTGGAGAGCTCGCAGAGACAAGAGAAGAAGTGCTGGATGAACTCCTTCTTATTGATCCCTTGGAGCTAGCTTTGACAAAGGCTGAGAATGAGTATGGATACATGGAAAGAGAAGCTCAATGCTTAGTCAAGTTCATGGATTCAAGGAAGCTTATAAAGAGCTGATAGCTTATATGGACTTAGAGAGAGAAGAGGAAGAGCCAGACATTGACAAGATCAGGAAATATCACAAACCAAAGTTAAGTTCGACCCATGGTGCCCACTTAGAGCTCCAAAAGCCGAGCTCAAACAACTCCCAGTTGGTCTAAGGTATGAATATCTTGGTCCTAATGAAACATATCCTGTTATTGTTAATGCTGCACTAACAAAAGAAGAGACCGCTTTACTTGTTCGCGAACTGAGAAAGCATAGAAAGGCTCTTGGTTACTCTTTGGATGATTTAACAGGAATCTCACCTGAACTATGCACACATCGCATCATCCTGGAGGATGAGTCTAGTTCTTCAATTGAACACCAAAGGAGGCTAAACCCAAACCTAAAGGAAGTTGTCAAGAAGGAGATAATGAAGCTATTGAAAGGCTGGAGTGATTTATCCAATATCAGATAGTGCATGGGTCAGCCCTGTACATGTCGTGCCAAAGAAAGGAGGGATCACAGTCATCAAGAATGAACATGATGAGCTCATTCCAACAAGGACAATCACTGGACACAGAATGTGTGTCGACTACAGGAAAGCTGAACTCCTCTACACGCAAGGACCACTACCCCTTGCCATTCATAGACCAGATGCTTGAGCGCCTTGCCAATCATCAATACTACTGTTTCTTGGATGGATACTCAGGATTTTTCCAAATTCCAATCCACCCAGATGATCAGGAGAAGACTACATTCACTTGTCCCTATGGCACATATGCTTATAGGAGAATGCCTTTTGGATTGTGCAATGCTCCAGCTACATTCCAAAGGTGTATGATGTCCATATTCACAGATCTATAGAAGAGATTATGGAGGTTTTCATGGATGATTTCTCAGTATATGGTTCTTCCTTTGAATCATGTTTGGGAAATCTTGGAAGAGTGCTACAGAGATGTGAAGACAAGCACCTAGTTCTAAATTGGGAGAAGTGCCATTTTATGGTTAGAGATGGAATAGTGCTTGGACATAGAATCTCAGAGAGAGGCATAGAAGTTGACAAGGCCAAGATTGAAGTAATGACAAACCTTCAGCCGCCCAAGACAGTCAAAGATATCAGAAGCTTCCTAGGACATGCTGGGTTCTACAGGAGGTTCATTAAAGATTTCTCACAGATAGCAAGGCCGCTAACACGCCTATTATGCAAGGATATTAACTTTGAGTTCACAGAGGAGTGTCACAAGGCTTTCACTAAGATCAAAGAGGCATTGGTCAGTGCGCCAGTGGTTCAACCTCCAAACTGGGAACTACCTTTTGAGATAATGTGTGATGCAAGTGATTATGCAGTAGGAGCAGTGCTTGGACAAAGAAAAGACAAGAAGCTACATGTGATCTACTATGCCAGCAGAACACTTGATGAGGCACAATGCAAGTATGCCACAACAGAAAAGGAGCTTCTTGCTATTGTCTTTGCATTTGAGAAATTTCGATCATATGCCAAGACAAGATTGCTGAGATGGATACTACTATTGCAAGAATTTGATCTTGAGATCAAGGATAGAAGAGGAGCAGATAATGGAGTAGCTGATCACCTTTCAAGGATGAGAGTTGAAGAAAATCTACCCTTGATGATAGGCTACCTGAAGAATCAGTTTATGCAGCTGAAGCTAGCAATAAGCATGGACAACTAAGCCATCACAGGCCAGGAACAAAGATCTCATCATCAAACACACCATGGTTTCGCCACATAGCAAACTTCCTTGCAGCTGAATACCCACCACCAAACTTCTTTGGCTACAGAAAGAAGAAATTTCTGCGTGATGTAAGAAGGTACTACTGGGATGAACCTTACTTATACAAGAAATGTTCAGATGGAATGTTTAGAAGATGCATACCAGAGGAAGAGGTAGAAGGAATATTGTTTGCTTGTCATAGTTCTAGCTATGCAGGCCACTTTGCCACTTACAAGACAGTATCCAAGGTCCTACAAGCTGGATTTTGGTGGCCAACTATGTTTAAGGATGCTCATGCATTCATATCAAGATGTGATGCTTGCCAAAGAATGGGAAATATAAGCAAGAGGAATGAGATGCCACAGAACTTTATACTAGAAGTTGAAGTTTTTGATGTTTGGGGCATTGACTTTATGGGACCTTCCCAACCTCTTTTGGTGACCAATACATTCTAGTGGCAGTTGATTATGTCTCCAAATGGGTGGAAGCCATTGCCAGCCCTACTAATGACGCACAAGTGGTCATCAAGATGTTTAAATCCATCATTTTTCCAAGGTTTGGAGTGCCTAGGATAGTCATAAGTGATGGAGGTTCACATTTCATAAACAGAATCTTTGCCAACCTTTTGAAGAAGCATGGAGTTACTCACAAAGTTGCCTCTCCTTACCACCCCAAACTAGTGGACAAGTTGAGATCTCAAACAGAGAACTCAAGAGCATACTTCAGAAGACAACAGGCAAGACAAGAAAGGATTGGAGTGCCAAACTAGATGATGCTCTATGGGCATACCGCACTGCCTTCAAAACACCACTTGGTACCACCCCCTTTCATCTTGTTTATGGTAAAGCATGTCATTTACCTGTGGAGCTGGAGTACAAAGCAGCTTGGGCTATTAAGGAGTTGAACTTCAACCTAAAGACAGCAGGAGAAAGAAGATTGATTCAGCTGAATGAGCTTGATGAGATTAGGCATCTGGCTTATGAGAATTCAAAGATCTATAAGGAGAGAACCAAAGCTTTCCATGACCGCAAGATCATCCCAAAGAACTTCGCGCCAAACGACCAAGTTCTACTATTCAACTCAAGGTTGAAACTCTTTCCAGGAAAGCTTCGCTCAAGATGGTCAGGACCATTCAGGATTAAAGAAGTTCGCCCCTATGGAGCAGTGGTACTATGGGACCCAATGGGAGGAGACTTTACAGTCAATGGACAAAGGTTAAAACCTTACCTAGCCTCCACCACTGATATACCTCTAATTTACCTACTTTTTATACTGTTTTAGCATTGTTTTCTACTGGTTTTTGGCAGGTTTTCTATCTAAAAAAGTAGTTTTACTGTGTTTATAGTGTCTAGAGTCTAAACAGGTGAAATGATGCATTTTGGAGCAAAACCATAGGATTTGCACTTCAAGCCGCTCCATGCACAAGCACCAACTTTAAGAGGGCCCAGAAAAAGATCTACTCAATGGATTTCATCAAGACCAGTTCCCTGCGTGCTCTAATTGAGTTAACTTTCCAACGCAACTGGAACGGCCTAATTTGGATGCGTAGAAACGGAGTTACAACCAAAAGAGTGAAGACTGCTCCAGACGGCTCTCTCGAGAATCAGCGCCCAACCGCGCAGTCCGGCAGTCCGAGGAACGAACGTTCCACGCTCGGCCAGAAAGCTATCAACCAAGACTTGATCTCAGAAACAGGGGGTTAGCCAGTGAGAATCAAGCCTTGGAGGCCATAGGATCATTGCTCAAACTAATCCATCCAACCCCTATGAACTCCATTTCGAGAGCAAGAGTTATTGGAGCTCTTAGTGGACCTTTCCAACGATTTCCATCACTTCCATGTGGAGAATCGCCTATGGACATACAAGCCAGGGATAGTGGTCACATACAAGTAGTGGTCATGTAGCCTTAAGGTTTGTCCAAAAGAGAGAGATTTCTAGGTTAAGAACATAAAGCAAGAGAGATTAAGCATAAACAACCTCTAACCTATCCCATCTTAAACCCTAAAGGAAACTACTCACTACACATGATGAAATAAACAACCAAATGCAATAAAGGAGACATCAAAAGATAGAGGAGATAAAGATAAACAACTTTTATTGAAATAGCAAAGTGCAAAAACACAATAACAAGGCCTAGATCTAGGGTTCTATGAGCAAGAGCTCAAGAACACAAAGAGAGGCTAAAAAGTAAAAAGGAAATGCAAATACAAGATTAATTAAAAGGTGAGCCAAAGCTATGTTTAATTCGTGGCTCAATGCCATTTATAGTAAAGCAAACTAGGTTTAGGGTCAAAGGGGAGTCAAAGGGAAGCAACATTTTTCGGGTTTGACTTTGACTCCTGGGAAAGCAGCTCGATCGAGTTGGAAACTGGCCGGTCGAGCTGGTGGGTCGAGTCCAACCAATATCGTCGTATCTTCTGAACCGCTGGTCCGAATGACATGAAACCACCTCCAGACGAAAGCTAACTCAATTATCCACAACTTCCAAGAAGAAGTCAGACACTGAATCGTAGTGGAAACCCTTCATTTGATACGATACTTCGGACGCATCTCACTAGCTCGACCGAGTGCGGGTCCGTACATGGGGCAGACAGAGTCTTTCCTTCCTCAACTAGTCTCCAGTGATAGGCAATGTTCCAATTGGCTCCAAATGACCTGATTAAGACATCAAACGTGCACATGTATGCAAATGCAAGCCTAAAACTACTATGTATGCAAAAGAAGGGAAAACATCAAGAAATGATGCTTTGGGTGAATGAAACTATGCAAAAGATGCATAAAAGAAGGGCTAAAACCATGTAAAATGCAAGTACATCAACACCCCCAAACTTGACCTTTGCTTGCCCTCAAGCAAACAAATATAACAAGAAAGGGATGAGGTTTGAAAACAAATTGATTCAACCTTTAGAAACATGTCCTCAAAAGCGATTTGCTAAATGTCCAACTTAGAGATTCTAGAATGCAACAAGGTGAGAGATATTCATTAAGATCTTAACCATGCTTATCAACATCAATCCCACTTCACAGTCACTCAAACAATGCATTCAAATCAGCAAATCCCTTTAACATTCATTAAGCAAAAACGTGAACCAAAAACATGCAAGATCAATCAACTCATTTGGTTTCAAGGGTTATGGGTTAAGAGACAAAGAGGTCTCTTTTGTGTATGGTGGTTTAGTAACAGGGATCTCTCAAGAAAGTGGCTTTGCTTTGGCAGAAGGCTAAGTGTTAGAACCAAAGATGGTGCAAGGACAGCAACTCGAGCCGCCTAATCCTAACTCGATCGAGTTCAACACTTAGAGCTTTTTAGAACAAAATCCTAACTACCCTTTTTGGCATTTCGCCTTTGAAACTGAGGAGCTTTGCTCACTTTTCTTTTAAGAACATCCTAGGGAGAGGCTTCTTGAGGTAACATCTAGCGGTTGGGATTTCTAAACACTTAGGGAACTTTTCTTCACTTTTTGACACTTGAGGCTTTGCCTTCTTTTCTTTCTACTTAGAACCCTTTTCACTTTCTTTTTTTAACTTCCCAAACCTTTACTAGACCCTTTTTTAACACTGCCAACTCCCTGGACTTAACTAAACTCTTTTTCCTTTGGATTTTCCCAACTTTTACCACTTTTCTGGTTTTTACACCCAACTCGATCGAGCTCGAGTTGGCACCCCCAAACTTAGCCTGAAAACAATCCCAAGAGAACTAGACAACTAGAACTACTGCCCCTGCCGGTTTAAACACAACACCTTATGCTAAGCAAAGCCAAGAAAGGTTCTCACAATCGCACAAGAGATAATATGGGGTTTGAAATGAAAAAGGCTTAGGTTTAAGGTGTGGTAACTGTCTCAAAGATGGAGATCAGCTATCTGGACAAGCAAGAGGGATATGAAAATAGGTAAAGAATGTCCAGATATGTATGTGGTAGCCATGAGTTGAAATCAAATGCAAGCATTGGTAATTAAAGATCAAATTATGGTTCAAATAGATAGGGAAATGCATCAAATCACAGCAATGGTTGAATGAGATGTGCATGCAGTGATATGATCAAGATAAACATGGTTCTTGCTGCTCAATCAATCTCACCCTAATGCACAAGAGAATCTAGAAATGGGCACTTAAGAAATCGCAAATGATGAAAAGTTTTCAAGATCAAATCAACAATGCAAATGAAAGATGCAATCCTAAACAATTCTAAGAATATGAATGCAAAAAGATGAAAATATTTTTGGATTTTTGAAAATTTTATGATTTTTTTGGTTTTTCTATGCAAATAGAGAATGAAAAACTAAGAACAGAATAAACAAGGTTAAATCATCTCTTGAACCCTCCCCCAAACTTAAATCACACAGTCCCTTGTGTGAAAGAAGCTCAAAGAAAGATTCAAGAGGGAAAAACAAAGAAAAATGCATGAAAATGAGATGGTATGTACAAGGGAATAAACGTTTGATACCTTAGTGCTCCCCAAAGAACTGGGAAGCAAGGTCATGAGTTGGAGAGGGCAGGAGACAATAGCATCATAACGGCATCAATCAAGCCAAAATAGGTGTGGTGAGATTGGACTCGATCGAGTCTGTTGCTCGAGTCAGAATAGCTTCCCTTTTGAACTAACTCCTGCAAGCCTTAGACAGAAACAACTACAAAGAACTTAAATGAAAGTATTATATACAAGATAGACATGGGAATTCCTCCCAAGTGAGCTTGTTTTAGGTCGCATAGCTTGACCTTTTACCTTTTAGGCATGAATGAGAGCGGTCCCGCCATCAAATGTGACAGTAAGGACTGAAGATAGGAGCTCCTTGAGCTTGGTTTGATCTTTTTGCAGCTCAGGACTGACCAAGGCATTGATACTGGAAAACGGTTTAGACTTTCTCTTGCACTTGATCTTGTACTCAATCTTCCCATTTGTGAACTTGGATGGCAACAGAGTCAGGGTAAGCTGGGATGGAGCGCTTGAGAGAGTCTGAGGCGTGATCATCTTTCTTTTATGTCCAGGAGACGCCTTCAAAGCCATACCCTCCCCATCTTTTTATACCCTCCCCGGCAACGGCGCCAAATTGATGATAGGATTTTACGTGGATGAAGTGAATGAAGGATGATATGAAATGAGGTGGAATGCAAACAGGGGTGAATAGAGATGAGATGGTATGGTGCAATCACAATCAATCAATTCCTCTTAACCATCATAGTCATTGAAGTATAAGAGGTTATCAATCCATAAGGGTGAGATGTTGCTCTATGAGAATATGCAAACACAAGAAAGTCAAGCCAAATGATTAAATGGAGGGATGTAACAACTAAACAACCTAATATGAAATGAAATGCAAGCAAAAGCAGTAAATAAAAGCAGCTCGACCAAGAACTCGATCGAGTTGATGAGCTCGATCGAGTTGAGGGTCGAGTTGGTGTAAAAACAGAGGAAAGCGAATGAAAAGCAATAAAGGTGCAAACTTTAAGATGCTAATGCGAAGATTAGGGTTAAAGACAGGGTTTTGCAGCTAAAGGGAGGCTATACTTAATCAGTCTTGCTCTTAAACAACTTGTACTCAAGCTATCTCTTGATATTGAGCTTCTCAATGCCTAGCTAACCCTTTCCCAAGGTGAAAGCTATCAACCAAGACTTGATCTCAGAAACAGGGGGTTAGCCAGTGAGAATCAAGCCTTGGAGGCCATAGGATCATTGCTCAAACTAATCCATCCAACCCCTATGAACTCCATTTCGAGAGCAAGAGTTATTGGAGCTCTTAGTGGACCTTTTCCAACGATTTCCATCACTTCCATGTGGAGAATCGCCTATGGACATACAAGCCAGGGATAGTGGTCATGTAGCCTTAAGGTTTGTCCAAAAGAGAGAGATTTCTAGATTAAGAACATAAAGCAAGAGAGATTAAGCATAAACAACCTCTAACCTATCCCATCTTAAACCCTAAAGGAAACTACTCACTACACATGATGAAATAAACAACCAAATGCAATAAAGGAGACATCAAAAGATAGAGGAGATAAAGATAAACAACTTTTATTGAAATAGCAAAGTGCAAAAACACAATAACAAGGCCTAGATCTAGGGTTCTATGAGCAAGAGCTCAAGAACACAAAGAGAGGCTAAAAAGTAAAAAGAGAAATGCAAATACAAGATTAATTAAAAGGTGAGCCAAAGCTATGTTTAATTCGTGGCTCAATGCCATTTATAGTAAAGCAAACTAGGTTTAGGGTCAAAGGGGAGTCAAAGGGAAGCAACATTTTTCGGGTTTGACTTTGACTCCTGGGAAAGCAGCTCGATCGAGTTGGAAACTGGCCGGTCGAGCTGGTGGGTCGAGTCCAACCAATATCGTCGTATCTTCTGAACCGCTGGTCCGAATGACATGAAACCACCTCCAGACGAAAGCTAACTCAATTATCCACAACTTCCAAGAAGAAGTCAGACACTGAATCGTAGTGGAAACCCTTCATTTGATACGATACTTCGGACGCATCTCACTAGCTCGACCGAGTGCGGGTCCGTACATGGGGCAGACAGAGTCTTTCCTTCCTCAACTAGTCTCCAGTGATAGGCAATGTTCCAATTGGCTCCAAATGACCTGATTAAGACATCAAACGTGCACATGTATGCAAATGCAAGCCTAAAACTACTATGTATGCAAAAGAAGGGAAAACATCAAGAAATGATGCTTTGGGTGAATGAAACTATGCAAAAGATGCATAAAAGAAGGGCTAAAACCATGTAAAATGCAAGTACATCAATACCATCTCATATTTTTTTGCATTTGTTTTTCTTGGTTTTGCCCTCTTGAATCTTTCACTAAATTTCTCTCACACAAGGGACTGTGTGATTTAAGTTTGGGGGAGGGTTCAAGAGATGATTTAACCTTGTTTTCTTTGTTCTTAGTTTTACATCCAT